CAGTGCACGAGGCCGCCTCATGTTTCAGTCGCTACGATATTCGAGATATCGAGATACATATCTCCTACATTTTTCGGGCACTATGTAGCCCAGTCGATTCATCGGTCCCTGGTGGAATCTTGATAAGTGTTCGCGCCACTGCTCACACACCCATAAAAGCCGGGTTGCGTCACATATGAAACTTGGTAGTGACTGCTTTTTTATGCACTGCGTGAAAACAACTAGTGCCACAAACTTGGCTCGCTGAGTACAGTCAGAAATGCAACAGTGAATACATTCTTGATTGACATAAAAATCGTTGTTTTAGGAAACTACTAAATCTAGCGATCCGTCATCAGTGTAGTTCTTTTGCAATCGGAAATCAGAGCTCTTTTTACGCTCAATAGCATGTCTTTACAGCATGTTCAACCCCCTTGAATCTCTTGAAATACCCACACATCGAGTGTCTTACTTTCAGCCGAGACCTTAGCTAGCTTTAAGGTTCTTGTGCAGCGTTCCATACCCCGAACTTTCATTCAACCCCATCCCACTACATGTTTGCTGTTCAATTTGTAGAAAACATTAGTACTTCACCTCCATACTTTAGATTAGGTTGTTCGTCTGTAAGCACAACATAATTACACAACAAGTTTCATGCTCTGTTGAACAGCAAAACTAGATCTCCGCTACGCTCGTCTGGGCTCCTGTAAACATAAACTAAACACCACTCCTTACCCAACAACTACTCTCTGCTATTTCCACGTTCCACAACCATGACCGGTCGTATTATGTATTGTACGTTGCAGTTCTCGATACCGTATCGTTCGAAGATGGTGCGATTAGCCAAGTTGCTACTGCTGCTGCCGCTATACATACTTAATCTGATTGACGAGGAGATATACGTGTTCTTGCCATTGGCTTCCGGATTCCAACACACACAAGTAAGCCATATTACTCTGCCCTTCTCTTTTCACCGCATTCATATCAAACAGCGATCATATCATTCGTTATTTCGCTGAATATCGAAGGATTTCAAAGGGATTAAAAATCCAACCCTTTCACTAAGATTAGTGGGGGTAAATGACCTGCGAAAATCGTCTTCTACTTTGTACGTGGAATATTTACTTTTCAGGGGGAAAAAGGGCAAAACACACTGTGTACAAAGTTCTGCTCAGGAAACTGTCATACTATGTCTGCGGATATGCTGTACAGCTTTCACGAGCTCCCCATCTCAAAGGCGTCAGTGACTCAGGGTAAATTATACCGATCGATAGACTTCATTCGTGGATTCAGTTGTGGTGAAACAAAACCTCATTTTAGCTACCAGTCACCGCATTCCAAAGTAAACTCTAGATAGGTAAATTAGCAACATGTGAAAACAGCGAATATCCCTCAACAGTCTGGAAAAAACCAAACCGTTCCGCTATGGCACGCTTTCGATATATGGATGCATCATAAACGGAAGAAAGCACGCGAGTTGAAATACCGCCAGGTTGTCGAAGCCCAGACACGAGCAACCGTAAAGCCGGGGTTGGGTTCACACCACAAGTCCCCCGGCGACTAGCCTCCCACTTTAGCCACTGTGCGATTTAGAGCTCATATAGATGGCTGTACCCTGTGAAAACAGGTTACCACCATATCTAACTTGTACTAGTCACACCGAGATATCGGAACTTGATTTGAAGTGAAAATTAGGCTATGAACTTACAGATGTCTACCACAATCAATGTAAGGTGTGAGTGTTCGGTGAATTTCGTTTGCCTAATCTTGCCGTCCATCTGGTTGGTAAGTCGGTTCCTCGGTTGTCACCAACGCGTAAAATGTGAATGAATGGCCTGCACTTTTCGGTGAGTTATGTCAAACGTTTAACTGTCTTCAATCAATTGGAAGATGTTTGGGATCGATTCGGTAGTAATCGTTTCTGGGAGGTCTTGTGAACAAGCTTTTGTGTCAAAAGCGAAACGCTGCCCAGTCATAAATGCACCGATTGTCTACCAAACCACTCTGAACGGAGTTAACGGCCTCGTGCAATCCGTCGCTGCCAGCGATCAGTTTACGCGTGTCATTTGGGTTGAATAAGATCAACCATCAAGTTGCCCTGAGTTTGTCTTTCTCCTAAGATGGAATAAACGCCGTTCCGTGGAAAAATTAAGGCAGAGGCGAGAAAGGGTTCAAAGTGCTGTATTTTCACGCTGCCACACCACAGTAAACACGTCGATGTAGGTAGAAGGTTGATTGAAGTCCTTGTTGGTTTAGGAATGATCTACTGTAGACCGTGGAACTCGAAATTGCGGAACGGTTCTTTTCTTTAGCGGCTAACGATTGTTCATTTCCTGGACAGGTATTTGGGACTAATTGGAGGTCGCCCGCAAAGCGACAGCAGCTAGCGGTTACTGACGATAAAAACCCATTACCTTACTGGGTTATGTTTTTTCCAGAAGCTAGAATTCAAAATTTCAAATCAATTTTATGGTTTTCTTCCGAAAATCATCACTAATCAGATTGCGTGCCGGACAATCGGCCTTCACAGTTACTGGTAAAATGAGTGTGCTCTTGGCGAGTCCGGAAACCTTCACTTAATTCTCCATTACTTACATTGACTTGTACTGAGCGAAATCGTGTGAGTAAGAGAACAAAAAGTGAGACAACGAAGTTAACACTCAACCTCCAAAGTTACTGTGCGCCAAGTTGAAGCTATTCAACTGCGTGCTCAACATTGAGATGGCGAATAGCCTGGCTGACCCAGTTAGCCCAAGTCGCAAAAAATTACCTNCACATAAACTACATTTGTATACCAATCGATTGAACGTTCGAGTCCAAACGGATCCTCTGGCAAAAATAACTCTACTTCAGCAAGATTATCCCTCAACAGGATATTGTAAGACACGCTTCATACAGGATTCTTCGGGTAGACTAGGAAGAGTGTTCCTTATACGCGCGTCCAAATATTTGCGCAGAATTCAGCCATTCATCATATTTTAAAGAAAACGGTACTTATCGGAAAATTTGTTACTTGTCACTGGTTGTCTGTGGATAGCAAGTACTGTTTTGTGGGCTACTGCACAACGAAGCGGAATTCCCCGTTGCGTTGAGTAGCATACTGGGATGTTGTTATGAACTCCACATTTTGACTGGTGTCCGAATCGTAGCAACAATTTTGGCATTCTCACCAAACAACGCAACTGCACAGCCGGAGCTGCTAGTATTTTCTTGTTGATTAGACCAGGTTCTACTTCAGTGCCCATAGGTGTGTGTACTTTTCTACTTGTTGCAAACCGATCTATCTCGTATAAAAAGGTTAGCATTGATTCCTTCAAGTGATTATATTGCTTTTATTGAAAAACCACAGGTGTTTGAGATGACGAAAGACGAACTGCGCGTAAATAGCATTCGGACATTTATTCCATTGGGTTGAGTACAAAAGACTTTTTAAAAGTGCTTTTTCATATTATTGTCATTCATGAATATTGTCAGTGAAATTAGTACAACACTCATATTATTAATACACTTGAATGTCACACAGTCATGAGGAAAGAAAGTCGTAGTTAAGATTGGAAAGACAAGAGAAGATTGCGTAACTAGTACGAAGAAGTTGTGTCTTGGGGAAGACGATCCGGAATGATGTGCTTACACATTTGGACAGCATTGAAATAAACACGTCCGAGGTAGGGCATCATCGGCGACGCTGTCCATCGCGGACCTTGCGCAGCGCCTATAAACACAGGTGAGCCAGTCTGGCAAGAAAGTGACATCATGCGCGCTACTGGGATCACCTGCATTCTAATCCAGTCGCAGGGTTTCCAGCCTCGTGTAAGGAACACGTGGACCCCAGCCATACCCTGGGGCACTCGGTTTGACTCTGGCCGCTTTATTTTCACGTTGCCGTGCCATACACTGTCTCCTATGGATCTCTTGCTAACAATAGATTGGGTCGAAAAATAACACTTTCTTAGGCAGACAGTGGTTCCGTATGTGTAGTACATTCCCCAGCAGCCAGTTAACCCGATAAGTTTAATCTACGGCTCTGACGATTCTGATACAATTTCCCAACCATCATTGAATGCATTCTTGGTTGAACTGGGTAACTGTGTAGTATCAAGAATTCACGCATTTACCTCCGGTTCTCAGGGTAGATCGTCTAAAGTTGACTTGTCTTACTCCCGTAGGGTATGTTATACGTTAAGTTGTTTGTCTGATTGATCTATTTCTTCCGATCCAAACCCCCTCCGCGAGTGACTGCTAGTATACGTCACAAATTCGATGACATTTGGTGTGGCTGAGTTTTTGACGATGAATCAATTGCCAAGTAACTTGAGCTCCATTTTCACAAAGGGAACTACTCACAAGGTTGCTGAAAACTCTTCGACAGCGATACCTCGAATATCGTGCCAACTGAAACATGAGGCGGCCTGTGTGCAGCACTTTCAGTTGCAGAATATCATAAACGAGAGATTCAATTGGTTCTCTCGGGAAAACCAAACTGATTTGCAAGTGAGTGTATTTCTCGAAAACTTGAGCTATATTTTAATGACTGGTGGTATTTCGGGGAGCCTAAACAAGCAGGTGAGTACCCAGAATCAGCGTTCGTAACATTATAATAAGCGAATGGTCGATGTCACGTTAGACCGTTTTTTTCTTGGTTTGTCTCACATTTTCTAAAAATACAGGACTCACCCGTGTCGATGGGCCGCGTGACCATTGAATCTCTAAGACTCGAGTGGTCCTTCGCTACCATTGCCTTTAACGCACGTCTAACTGGTATACAAGGGTTCCTCTACTATTGGCCGTGGGTCAGCTCAGCATTCCTAGCTGTTTCAATGTTCAGTTTGCTCAATATCCTCTACCTGCTTTTGGGTTATTATCGGTACGCTCAACCAACGAACGCATCACCCCATTCGATTGTCCCGTCGTCAAACATACATGCCGTTCCACCCAAGACTCCATCAGATTCTGAAGTTGTGCAAAGCCTTTGACGAAAATTCGGCATCTTCTAACTAGTCCACAATTCCGGCATTTAGATTTCTAGACTTTGTGTCATTCGTCAGTACTAACCGACAACTCGGAATATCCCCAATTCACTCCGTTATTCTTTCGATATTTTGCTGTAAATTTCGCACAACCCAGCACTGCTATTCCCAACGGTACTCTTTCATAACCTTGTGATTCATTATTTTTCAAAACAGAAATTCTCCTTTGGTCATACACTTAAAATAGATTCAGTCAGTTCTGGCAACACATAACAGCGTATTTTGATTTTATGTCGGGTATCGATTGGTTCAAAAATGCCTTTTTCACTCTACTTCCATTAATTCTGTTTCTGCTATGATTAGTTTCAAGTACAACGCTTTGCCTTGCTGCGAGAACTCCATGCTTTCTAGATGGGACATATTAATGTCCATCAATTCGTAAAATATAGGCACTTGTGATAGTTTACATCGGTTTGATATTCACACAGCACTATTTATTGCGCTAAATAGAACACCCTGTGGAATGTGTGTGGTATTTGACGCCATACCTCGTGATGTATTGAAGGTTGTCTGAGACACCAGGCTAATGAGAACAATAGATTATAAGTCCTTGTAAGTTACAGCTTCAATTTGTTGTTGGGTTGATATCGATGAACTCTCTTGGATCTGACCATGCAAGTGACTAGGCATGAAGCTTCGTTGGACCATTGGCTGTGACAGCGCGTTAGGGATATGGAGTCAGTCCCGCTGGTAATACCTTTGTCCGACAAAAAGCTGGAATTCCAGTGTTATTTGGATGTGTAACGGCCTCTTTCCACTTGATCTGGATAGTCGCTCGTAAGTTCTCATCCTTCTGTTTCTTCTCACTCTCCACTTAAAGTTCTTTGCTGGTGGCCGTGCGGGGTTAAGCACCAGCATCTACTAGTGGCGTATTGTTCTCCATGTCAATACAAAAACTTGAAATCATTCCTTGGGCACACGAAGAGGCAGAGGGGTTGTAAGGCGATATTGTTGTTGTGGATGAAGCGCAGAACCCTTGTGGACGGATAGTGAGAAATGGTTTTGCTATCAGTTGAGCTGCTCAGATACTTTCAGTCGATAGCACAGGTTCTATATGCTCCTTTTGAGCTGTTGCGTTCGCTTTTTTTTATATCCCCAGTTCCGGTTTACTGTTCGCTTTATTTCGGGGTATTAAAGAGCTGCTCAGATACTTTCAGTCGATAGCACAGGTTCTATATGCTCCTTTTGAGCTGTTGCGTTCGCTTTTTTTATATCCCCAGTTCCGGTTAACTGTTCGCTTTATTACGGGTTATCAAAGATAGCAGTAACGCAACTATGTTGGTGGTCGCCAAGATGAGTTTCTCAAGACGGGTTACGTCGGTTACCCGAGACATCTAAACGCCTGCTCATCGTCGGGACCGGATTTAGCCCACTGCATGTGCCAGATGCATGTCTATCCAAACGTATTTCCTACATTATAGGTGAAAGGAACCGTAAAGGCTAGGATCACACTGTGTGCGGTTGATGAGGTGCAGTCTGTTTGTCTTTAACTGTTCTGTCTATGAGATCCTGGCGGCTTAGAATCTTACAGCTGCCGCACTATATTTAGTTGGTTCTTAGTATGCAGTATAAACAAACGGGTGAGGGTAGTAACACTATATTGACAACTGGTTCTATGAACAGATGGGGTAATAAACATCTTGGATGAGGTGGAAATTACAATCCACAGCGGCACAATCAGCGGGAGCAGAAAAAGGGAAGTGGGGCAGCGAGTTTTTTGAAAGCAGTAACGAGCAAGTACGAAAGCATGGGTAGTTATGCAGTGTAAATAGGTAGTATACAGTGATAACGGCACACAAGACAGTACATTCAGGAAGTATTTCCGAACCAAACGGAAACTATCTGGGAAAATAGGTAGACAAATATCTGCGGTCCTTAGCTGAGCGTGACAAATCTCCACGTGCTACGAATCAAAGCTGAAGTGCGCGCTCAGGCCTGTTCAAAACGAAATCCCAACAATCGCTATCAGATGGAATGCAGTACAATAGTGGGGTTGCCCGGCAAGTCAAGCTAGTGCCATCCGAGGGGTTCGTGTTCAATACCCGGACGGCCCGCTTTTCTGTCGGAGCGGACAGTTGGAAATAGGTAGAGCTGACACAAAACTGCAAGCGAAGATATAAGTAACTAGAGGCTAGGCCAGCCTTAGGTGGAAGCAAAACACCGGGGAACGAACAGAAGGAAAGCGAAATCGCGTTATGATAAACGCCTAAATTACGCTACTGATGAGTAGTTAGAACACATAAAAGATAACCGCTGACTGGCGTTGGGTCGTCGAAACCAATGCTATCTAACAGACAAGTTTTGTTCCAACAGAACTGCTCATGTTTAGAGTTGTCAAGATTTTTTACTCATCTGAACAGATATCAAGAAAGGTTATCTGAATTGCGTTCTCCACCTCTGGTTTAAATGGAAGTTGGCGTGCATTATTTTGAAGATCAACAGTGTCCACAAACCCCGGCTTTGTTCCAACCACACACGAATTGCAAATAAAATAGCGGAGTTTAACCATGACGCAGAAGCTAACAGTACGTTCCAGACATTGTCTCGCTGCTGTTAAGATCTATTTCGAGTTTACGTAAGGGCTCAGGATGATGCGTGAAATTTCCGGCTCTCACTTCGTAAACTTCGTCGGCAGAGCCGAATAAGTATTGTAGCTTGAACCGCCACAGTGCAGACACTACAACATACGTTTGGGGAGAAATCCTCGCTTTTCGATACCGCTGTTTAAACCTGGTTACGGACGAGCCCGGCGATTTTTGACACACGTTGACACCTAACCACGAATGCGGACATTCGGGACCAAAATCACTAACCGGTGACCAATTCAAATCTTCAGATGCAACCTCTAAATCTCCAAGTTCACAGGTCCGGCAACGCCTGCTCAACCGGCCTGAGCAAGATCGTTTGCTGATGCTTAAGACCATTGGTGACGAGTACCAACGGTTGACCAACTAGCGGCGCGGCACCACTTTAGTTCTATCTGGGAGTCAAGCTAGCCCCGACGTTCATGTGATTCGATCATTCTCTTCTGCTCCATCGCGTTCTGGTACTAGTTAATCCAGACAGCCAAGAGTCTTTCATCTATGACTGACACAGCCAGATTGTACCCTATAAGCAGCGTCAGAACTATGTGGACCACAAAAACGCTTACTGCCAGACACGTTCGTCCGATGGCCCCCACGGCTTCTCCAAGCCCTGAACAAGTCGAACACTAAACCTATGGGTTCTGTTCCTAGTCTGCTGAAAACTTTCCAGATCAATGTCGTATGTCGCGGAAGTTTTTCACAGTCCTGGTAAACGGCCGTCCCGCCCGCCTACAGTTTGACACGGCTTCGAACAAGCTTCCGCCGACGCATGGGCGACCTCCAGCCAGATGGTTCTCCAGGAATGCTACCAGTGCCTGCGGTGATAAGCTACAGCACTTCAGTGAACTACCATGCTATCTCGTCTAGAGGAACAATATTCACAGGGTCATATTACGCCCGCGGAATTGAACCCCCTGGGTCCTCACTGGCTCTACCGACTGCTTTTGGCTGATGCTATTATCTATTTTGTCTGGAACCCAGTCTATTCTTTCGCTGTATCGTCAAATCACTCCAGTGACATTAGTTGATGTTTCACGAGAGTATTCCAACCTTACTCGGTCACTGTTCCACAGCGCAAGCAGCTCTGTCCCTTCTACCAAACAATACCCCAGTATCCCACCCCTAACAACCGACTCCGACCTCCAGTGCCCCGAACACCGATGTTCCAGTCTCCAGTTTCTTACTGAGTGTGGACAGCACGAACTGGTGAAGAACCCAAACAGACCGATCCGCATTTATGCTGGTTTCTCAACCGGCCCCCATGCAGCTCTTGAGCATCGTCAATAACCAGTTCCGGTGCCCGGTGATTTGTTCACTTTTATGAACGGCAGCAGCTGTTTCGCTAAGCCCGACCTGGCTCACGCGTATCCGCAGATCGTTGCGCCGGCGTCCCATCAACAGTCATTGGGGTCTTTACCAACACATCCGTCTGCCATTCGGAGTGGAGACAGCACCTGCAATCCTCCAGCAGTTGATGGATACAATCCTCTCTGGCATCCGAGGTGTGACCACATACCTGGAAGGCGTGCTGGTCGTTACCGGCTCTCCCGACGAACTAAGGACACGAATCCATCTTGTACTTCAGCGTATTCAGGACAAAAACCTCCACCTTGGGTTTCCTTATCTAGTACTGCCACGCAAATGAGTTCACCTAAACAGATGCGCTATCGCACTTGATAGGCAGATTTCCGGTCTGGCACGGAAGAGGATACCGTCATCATCACTCTGCCCATTGATGACTATGCCGGCCAGTAGTTGTCACAAACCACTTGTCTAACCGATGACTGCATCGGTTATCCAGCGTGACTGAAGTTGATACGTCACTGCAACAGGCGACCCAGTTGGCCGGCAAAGCCCCTAGACGACTATCAACAATCGCTTTTTCATCGTCGGAGATCCGGCGACCCTGTATGGTTGCTCTATATTTGAAGATCATGTGGTAATACCAAACTCCTTGAGTCCTATGGCAGCTTCATTCGAGGTACCCTAGAATCGATTGGATGAAAGCAGTCACTTGTAGCTTTGCCTGTTGGCATCACACGGGTCGCCATAAGTTTGCCTGTTTTCGATGTCAACAAGTCGCAAAGGATCCCCACGTCTACCGACTTGAATCTTGTTTCCGGCCCAAAGGTTCCTCGTTTCGAGTAAACGATGACTATTTTCGCACAAGTGACAGTGATCAACCTCGTTTCGTCAACGCCTTTCCACAGTAGCCGGAAATCCTGCCTATTTTCCCACCATCTACAGCTAGCATTCCGCGGGCTCTCTCAGACCTTCGGCTAGCATAGCATACGGCCGACCAGTTTCGGATATGGATCGCGATTCACTTCTATTTGCTTTCAATAATTCTACCGCAGAAGTGTAACTACGCACGTGCGTTCGCTGCCGTATCAACCCCAATCAAACGGCCAATCCGAACGACTAAGCGATATGTTTAATTAAGCGCTGCTGAACTCCTGAGTGGACATACGTCGACGTTCTCTAGGTTCTTGTTCATTTAGCGTACCACACTAAACGACTTGTTAAAAGATCATAAATCGCCTGCTGGAGGCCGCATTGCTCGGAAGTTACCAATTCAGCTGTGTCTTCGACACAGTCAGCTCGTTCCAAGCGATAGCCACGATAGTGTTCGCGCAACGCTACTGACTAAGACATGACCCTTGGATCGAGGGTTGCGTCTCTACAAAAAGTGAATCATTAGTGGGGCGTTTCTTTTGGCCAAGGCACATGTACCCGCCCAGTTCATCTATCGGGACCATCGACGTGTTCTACCAACGTTGACACATTCCTTTAGACGTTTGAACTACCGTGGACCGATGGCCGCCGAAGGTAAATTGCTTTGTTCTACACTGACCCACGGAAGTTCCCTTAATGATTTTTTTAAAATTGTTGGGAATGTCACAATTTCGGTCTAGGCCGAAGAAAAATTTTCTCCAAAGGTCTCGTTTTCTGCGCTAGAAGTGGCTGGGCTCGTATCATAGCTGTGAATATTAGCGCATTTCCCAACATCGTGCATAATACTATTAGCAGATCTGTAAAAAAGGCTCTCAATTATTCAGTTGAATTCGGAGGAAATCCGAAATTCGGCCTCTCCAACAAATGTTGACTTAGACCAAAAGGAACGCCGGCATCCCGTGGATCATCTGAATGTTCTCATTAATGCAGTTTCCATGCAGCCCGTCAGTGAAAAGCAAAAAGGGATTTCGATCAGTACCGAGTTGATCCAGCCGATATTGACAGTAGGACTGAGAGTTTTAAACACTGATTAGAAATAAAGGCAATAATTCAGAACAACTCATATGATGTAATACAAGCCAAAGTGTACAAAAATATTCTGAACTCCGGTTAATCAAGCATACCATCGAGAAATTCATACTGGGACATTAACTTTATCACCTGGTCGACATGCGCTCGGGAAACTGTTTTCTTCCCGTCTCCCAAGGTGGCCTGATGAACATCAGCACACAGTTCGCGTAAGAATCGCACTGAAGCACGTTCAATTAACAGAAGAGCTTCAGTGTTTATGATATGAACTGATGGAACGATTTTCATTATGGTCCGAACACGTGATAGTGGGAGGTGAGTAAGCCGGTCACCGTCAACGCAACCTTGTTCGTCATCTAAAGGGACAGACTCTTGAGGGATGCCGTATCCTGATTTTTCTAATTCCTCGGTGGAGTCATCATTCAGTTCCAAAGGACCGACTCGTTCTTCAGCCTCTGTGTCCTGAACTGCGAAACCTGAGAATGAAATTTCACCCCCAACTCACAAGTTATTTCTTCTAAATCAGAATCCATCTATTTCGCTGAAAATTGGCCAACTGCTTACAGGGAGCTTGGAAATCTGGAAAATAAAGGACGGTTATTATTAAACGACGCAAAAGTTGGCCTATGAGATCTAGGTCTTATGCATCACCAGATTATTCGCAGCTGCACCAAATACCGACCAATCGAGAATTTCAAAGATAACCAGCGACAAATCAACAGAGGATAATTAGCTTGGCAGCCGAAAATTAAATTGTTCGACTGAATGGTCCATCATTGCCTGCTTGTTGTGGTACTCATCTTTAAGAGATAATAGAAGGAGGACATCCGAAAAGCAGGTCCTTCAGTACCGGTTTGGAAGAAATACGAAGTTGGGGCTTCAGAGGCCCGCCCCACAATTGGGGACATACCAAGAAGCAAGCATACTTCATGTGCGTGGGGCATGCATTTAATCAAGCTAATCAAGGGAAGATGCGTAGGTGTCAGGTTAACCATCCCACAGTGTAGTTGTGCATATAAATAGCAGAAAGCATGTGTCTGCTGCACATACAACAGTCTATAATGGTTAGCTAATCTGAGCCCCTAAGTTGGGTTGCCGGTCTTCCATTCATTATGAATTAAAGATCGGATCAACACGGAAGATATGTCAGCCGCATTTCAACACCATGAGGGTGAGCTGTTTCTATTTGTAACTTCCGTGTCATTAGGCGAATCAGAAACCTGGCCGCTGTGCATTGAGGACGTCAATAGGCTTTCAGTGTTTGACCATCGATGTCTTCGGGGCATTGTCCGAGTCTCGTAGGAACTGAGCTACCTCGGATGGTTTTTCAGTAGAAATCATTCACGCACAACCATCATTGTCATCAACAGCATTACATCAGTGTTCAACGCTGATGCTTCGCTCACCCATGATCACAATGATCACACCCCATATGTTGCGCTGGCTTGGCCACGTGATCCATATACCAGTCAACCGACTTCCTCGAGGGTCTCTTTTTGCACAACTGCGTAAAGGAAAGGTCAAGCAATGACTTGGAAGCGAACTGTAAAAGCCATTATCAGGTAACTCAGTTGTGCTGGTCATCCCCGCCTCCTTGAATGGGCAGCCTGAGACGGGACACATCAATGGTTGGAGACATTGTCAGACATGACCCAGTTGCGTCCCGAATAGCACTCGTGAATCCAAGCTACCGCCTTCGGCGCACAGCTCCCCTCCTAATCTTGCCAATGAAAGGTCCACTGACAACCCTGTATTTACGCAACAATTATACCAACTACCGCCTCCAATGCGCAGCTACTTACCTCATCTTTCCAAACCATCGGTGAATGAAACTGTGGCGGCTATAACCACCGTACGGCAAGTACGCGGCTCTTACATCTGATAGTGATGGTGTTCAATAAGTGGAGCCCCTAACGTCTAGGCCTGTGTCACCTGTGGCGTAGGTGTGACATCAGTTTATCCGTCAAGATTCGAGTTTACAATGCTGTGGTGCGCTCCATATTACTATACGCATCAGAAACCTGGTTGCTGCGCGCCGAGGACGTTAAAAGACTCAGTGCTTGACCACTGATGTCTTCGGAGCATTGCCTGAGTCCGGTTGGAATACCGGATAAGCAACGCTGAAGTACATCGAAAGGTATTCGGAAGAAATACCTCACCCTCGTTTGGTAAAGTGATCACACTGCATAGGTTGCGCTGACTTGGTCACGTGCTGCGCATGCCCGTCGACCGACTTCCTCGAGGGGTTATTTTCGCACAACCACGTGAAGGGTGGAAACGAGCCAGAGGCGGTCAAACAATGACTTGACAGTGCGGTATAAAAGCCATTATCAGCGACCTCAGCTGCACTGGCCATTGCTGTCTCCCTGGATGGGGACCCCGAGACGGACCATATCAATGGTTAGACATTGTCAGACATGGCCCAGTTGTGCTCTCAATGGCACTCCTGCATCCGAGCTTTAGCCTTTAATTCATAACTCCTTTCCCAATTTCTCAGATTAACAGTCCACTGACAGTGCCGTATTTGCGTCAGCTCCCGCCTCCAATGCGCAGCTACCTACCCTACCTCACCAAATCATCAGTCTCCTGCAATTTCACGCTTGTAACAAGCAAGAAATGTATGATACGGGAAATTAGTCTAACAGACTGACTGCGATAGGAAGCACTGCTTCACCTCTCAAAATTGTACAAACGGTCCCCTCCGAAAGCTTGTACATAAGAAGAACGCCAAATCGTGGATGTGTTGTGGATAGCGGGCAGAGGCCAGTTGGTGCACTGTCTGTTTTAATGCGTAATTTTGTATCATGCTCAAGAGAGTACGCAAATAAGTCCTGTTATCGTTTTTTATCCACATTTCACAGGCGCCTGCGCCAACGTTTCGGTAGGGTCGGACAACGAGGGTTTATGCATGAAATGTCACTTGGCTTGAATTAATTTAGTAGCGTTAAGGTGAAATGCGCTTTTAGGTATGCCGTTTGGTACGAAGTAGGGGTCGCGATTGCTATGAAGTTGAGTGTGCAGCACCAGTTTAGTAAGGAACAAGCAAAGAAACATTGATTTCGCGGAGTTCTAACTCGCAGCTTAGTGTTCGGTCCTTCTGTAGCTATAGAAAGCTCTCAGATCCAAGCGGACACCATCGCTGCATACCACTTTGATATTACCCACCTTGAACATCTACCCTCTCCACATGGATGGTGTCGCATCTCATTAACAGTTGGAAAGGCCTGGTAACTGTGTCACGACTGTATTAATTTACTTGCAGCACACATATTCTTTTATGCTCACAGTTTTCATTTTTGCCGTCCCAGATCGTCTGCCTGTATTATAGGATGGGTAAAAACCATGTTACCATTCACAAAGCCTATATTTCCTTTGAACTAAATGGGTAACTGACAACTGACAATTTGCTTATCTGCTAATCTCACAAACCTGACCCTTCGATGCTGATCCGAGTGCACTTGTTTGTTCATTCGGTCTTTTACGGTTACATCACACAATATAATGAATATGATGCTGCTGTAAACGTCCCTACGAAACTTGAGGCCGCGCTTGACAGAGTTATACACCAGATACCTAGCTGTTTGCTAAACGTTCAACACGTTTATCATTGTCTAAAGAAAATGGAATCCCTTCTTATTCAAGGCGGCCTCTTCTTCAAGACATGCCGTTAAATCTGCATGGATACCTCAGTTACTGGAGACGCAAATGCAGTATCAAAATAAAGTATGTGGGTAAGCTATGACACTGGAACTTACTCAGACAATTCTGTCATCATCACTGGATGAGGCGTGTTCAAAGACTAGACATCAGGTAGCGTGACTTAGCACGAAGCACATGAACAGGCACTAGAAAACCTCGGCCAATCTTTTTAGTGACGGCGTTCTTAGTTTTCCGCAAAAATAAAAGCTATGTGGCCCTCATATTCTGGAAGAACTTCAGTGGTGGATATCACGAAACATGATGTTTAAGGTTCAGTGCAGTTCCGTTCTACAATTCACCACCGACCGAAGTTTGGTGGTTACTGCTGCTACGGATCCGTCCACCAAGGATAAGGAGAATACGGGAATGATGACTAACTAATCAGTTTAGTGACGCTGAATAGTTCTGTTTGTCCAATATGGCAGCGGGCGAGAGCTACAGAGCCAAGGCGGTAGCTCTGATGCATGATTGCCCTTGACTGCGTGACACAGCTATATATCTGTCACTAGCTTGTGGTTAGTCTTCCGCGGTTACCATCCAACGACAGTTACCAATGCGACTGAGTGGACTGGTGAAGGTTTTCACGCTTCGTTACTGACTCACGGATTGACCGCCCCTGCGAAGTACGTGGTCTAACCAGCGTAACCTATGAAGTGTGACCAGTTGATCTATTGAGGAACAGTGAACTTCCCAGAAGACCATCTGATGTACTTCAGCATCACTGTTCCCACTAGACATGCGCAATGCTTCAAATGCACCTATGTTCAAAAAGAGAACTTTCAAAGGCCCCCCACACGCTGTCTCTGATCCACAAATTCGGACACTGTACACTCTGTCCTTGACAGTCAAGCTTGTTACATCGGCACCACAAATGTTGGAGGTTAGGCTTCTCAATTAAGGTGATTACTTCTTTAGCTAGCCCATCAGTGTATATGCAGCTACCGAGGTGAAGAAATATATCTATTACATTGATTGGTTCACCAAGAAGCACGAGGTTTCTGCGTAATCCAAAACGGTTTTGCAGCGGCATTTCAGACCTTCAAGGTGTAAAGCACATACCGAACCGTACAGCATATATTTTTGCATAATTTGACACGGTATGGTGCGACAGCATTAGGGTTGGTGTACGGTGTTCGTGGACGAGTGCGTCTAGAATATTTTGACCACTGATGTGATAGTGACAGGCAGAGAGGACTTATGTAACACATCAACTACAAGATTAAATGGAAAGGCCGATAAAGGACATGCTTACCTGATACCACTAGCGAAGTGTTGGGCGAAAAATCGTTCAGTCGTAACACCTTTTCGGTGCCTAGTTGCCATACCACCCGAAGGAAGCACGAGGGTTGGATACTGCCAGGTTGATAAAGCCTAGACAGGGGAAGCCGAGAGGCAGAGGTCGAGTTTTAACTACAAACGTTCCGGTCAGTGAATTCACGCTCTAACCACTGAGCCATCTCGCCCCTGGAAGTGGTGACCTAAGGACATAATTTGTTACAGACATATACGTCCACGAGAGAAGGTATATATAGCCTTTAAAAGAGAAAAGAATTTAGAAGCGACGTCCCTTTCACCAGAGACTACCACAGTTTCTGACGCCCAAGAGGGTCAAAGGCAGATCTGATATAGAGAAAGACCCACACAAAATGAAGATATGATAGACGCAACCCCGGCCAGGGCGAAACCTAGCTAAATTCTCATGAATCTGATTCCCAATGACGATCAACCTACTTAGGCTAACAGCTTGAAAGCAATGGCCCAGACGGTTTTCACTAGCTGTTCTTGCACTCTTTTCGACTATGGGAATCACCGTCAAGGAGGTTTATTCTGTTGG